TCTGGGGTTTAAACTGTAATTCAGGGAATATAAATACGCAAGGTAGGTGTGTGTGTCACCGAGTGGTGCTGGGAGGGATCGAAGGCAGAGGTCATGTAGCCAGGTGGGTGCAGGGCTCAGTGGTGTGAGAAGGGTGACCATGGGGGCACTCGTGTCTGCAAGGAGACCTGCTGGTGGGAGGACACGGAGAGCCCTTCAGGAGAGAAACTGGAATGTGTGTTTGGGTGGGCAGGCAAAGGGGAGGCTATTGATACCTCAGAGCTGCCCTGATCTTCTCATGAACCTCACTGGAAGCACAGGTGCCTGGTTTCTCCCCCTGAAACTCTTGTCACAAAGATTTCTGAAAGCAAAAACTTCCCGTGTTCGTTTTGGGCTTATTTTCTGAGGTGTTGCACAAAATCATGTGCCTAGAAACTCAGTTCTCCTTGCAAGGCCTGGTTGTAAAATTGGGTTTTAAAAGCAGATGGTCTTGAATAAGTCAGCATGCTGAAGGATTGTTTTCAGGGGTGTCATGACCTGATAGCTGCTCCAGGGTATAGTGTGACTGTGTGCATTCCTCATACCATCGTTGCCTCGACCTTATTCCCACTCTCCCCTCTGCTCTCTGTAAGAGTTTGAATGTTGGTGTAGTTGACATGGGATTGTGGGTGAAGCCACCTGAGTAGCCACCTGGTGACTTTCCTCCGCTGGTGGCCTTGCGTGCACTCCTCGGGAAGTGAAGGAAGATGGGCAAGTTACGATTACCCTGGTTTTACCTGCTTACTGGAGCCTTTCATCTTTGCTCTGTTAATTAATGCTAGCTGCTCTGGCAGTGCTCTAGTTTTAAAGTGAAAATCAACAACGTGCTTTGAGTATTATCTTAAGACACGTTGTAAATGTCATGTTGGCCCTCCAGAAGCAGCTCCTTTTGGATCTTCCCAAACGAACTCTAGCACAAGGTGTTGTGCCGCGGCTGTTGGAGGCAGGGCTGGCGCTTGTACTGCAACACGTGCGCTGTGGTGGTGGAACTGGACTGGTAATCCAGTTAATCTGACAGTTCTCTACCAGCAGGACTTCTGCAAGAGTAGAACTTGACAGCGTGGTTTGAGTCCCAGAGGCAGACGCAAAATTCAGAGTAATTCTTGGCATTACTGTCAAAATTCTCAAAACTCTGTGGAAGTTCCTCAGACTGTGTCCGCGTGAATGCCCTTTCCTTTTCTTTATTCCTCCTTCCTATGGTCAGCTCAGAGAGATGCCTTACTCTACCCCTCAAATTCCCTGTTAAGAAATTACTGCTAAGTTGTGATGGGTTAACCTGGGTTGGATGCCAGGGCCCACCAAGCTGCTCTATCACTCGTCAGCTGGACAGGGGAGAGAAAAATACATCAAAAGGCTCATGGGTCGAGGTAAGGACAGGGAGAGATGATTTGCCAGTTACCATCACGGGCAAAACAGACTCAGCTTGGGAAAATCAGTTTAATTTATTACCCAAATTCAAATCAGAGTAGGAGAGAAATAAAAAACTGAATCTTAAAACACCTTCCCCCCACCCCTTGCTACTTCCCAGGCGTAACTTTGCTCCCAGTTTTCTTTCCCTCATTCCCCCAGGCGGTGCAGGGGAAGGGAATGGGTGTTAGGGTCAGTCCATCACACACTGTCTGCCGCTCCTTCCTCCCCAGGGCAGGACTCCTCATACTCTGCCCCTGCTCCAGCCTGGGGTCCCCCCGCAGCAGACACCTACCCCAGCCTGGGCTCCTCTCCCCATGGGGCCACAGGCCCTGCTGGCAGCCTGCTCCAGCGCGGGCTTCCCACGGGGCCACAGCCTCCTTTGGGCACCCCCTGCTCCAGTGTGGGGTCCTCCCCGGGTTGCAGGTGGGGATCTGTTCCCCCGTGGGCTCCCTGGGCTGCAGGGGCACAGCCTGCCCCACCATGGGCTGTGGGGGAATCTCCACTCCGGCGCCTGGAGCTCCTCCTGCTGCACTGGCCTGGGGGGCTGCAGGGCTGTTTTCTCTCCCATCCTATCACTTCTTTCTCTCTGGCTACTGTTCCGCAGCAGGTTTTTTTCCTTCTTAACTATGTTACCCCAGAGGCACTACCACCGTCACTGATGGGCTTAGACCTTGGCCAGCAGCAGGTCCGTCTTGGAGCTGCTGGCATTGGCTCTGTCGGATGTGGGGGAAGCTTCTGGCAGCTTCTCACAGAAGCCACCCCTGTAGCTCCCCTGCTACCAAAACCTTGCCACGCAAACCCAATGTGTAAGTGTAATATGGCTTTAATAGCAACCAAACCTTAGAGGGGAGGGAACATGCTTACAAATGTTCCTTAATGTTTTTTTCCAAGGGTTGTTCGTAAGAGTAGAGATCTAATTCAGTGTTAGAAATAACAGTACTGTCTAGCCTGCAGGTAGTTTATAAGGACCTAAATAAAATTTTAAAAATAGACCAAATAGCTTTTGGAGGTCATCTTTAAGCTACTAGAACAAAGCCTTATTCTTAAGGGAGGCTTTCCAGGCTTCCAAAGTATTTCAAATGCTGTCCACCCAACTAAAAGTGAAGCCAAGGAGGGTTGCAGTACTTTAGTAGGAGGATTTTCTTTTTAAAGCGAGTTTTCTAACCTGGAGGAAAACGCAGTATGACAGTTTTGCTTCCGTTTTCTTTCTACTTCTGTTAATTTAACTAAAGTTGATGACCTACAAAGTTACTCTAAAATACTCTTCAGCCTCGGTAAACTCCTGAGTGGCTGCAGTGCAGTGCAGTGCAAATACATTAATGAAGAATCATTGGCGTTCAGCACCAACTGCAGGCTTGTCTGCTTTTTTGCAGTATGGGTATTTCCTACTGCTCTCGGTATCTTGCAATGCTGTGGTGCTAATCGTGGTGAAGAGCACTGATCCAAGAGTCTTCCCTTGGAAGACAGACCAGGGTGTTTCTGCAGAACTGAGAATGCCTGTTAGGAACACTCATTCCAATGTACGTGTCTCTGTAGCGAAGGTCTTGGTAGGAGGCTGGGGTGGGGGAATTCTTATTCTGACAGTCTCCCTCCCTCCTCTCCCAAGGGCGTCTTAGCTACAAGTGGAAAGTTCCCTGCAAGTTCCTTTTTTTTTTTTTTTTTCTTTCCCCCCCCAAAACTCCCTCCCTCCTCTCCCAAGGGCGTCTTAGCTACAAGTGGAAAGTTCCCTGCAAGTTCCTTTTTTTTTTTTTTTCTTGCTTCCCCCCCCTAAATAGTCATGTTCAGTCTTTACTTGTGGATCCAGATGGTGACTAAAAGCCATTTTCAGTGATTGTGCTGTAAATTTTTAGGCATGCAGTTCCTTTTCTCAGTAAGGACAAGGTGTAGCTGATTATAAAATACACTAAGTTCTGTCAACAGGGGACTTCCGAAGTCTGAACCCACCTCTAGGGTCTCTCTACTTCTGTTACAATGACTTCAGGGGTTTTTTTTATCAGTTCATCCGTGAGCGTATCCTTTCTTCCCTGTCTTCTTCCTCTGTGCCATCTGACTGGGTTTGAGGAGAGAGTTAGTGAGACTGCAGATGGTCTGAATCGTAGACCCGCCGAGGGACCGGCCAGTTGGCCAACGTGCGTGCTCATTGGAAACCAAACAGAGCAAATTACTTTGAACTTGTCCGGTGAGCCTTCCCTCCCTGGGGGTATGGATTTGTTTCTCTGACTCATCTCTGACTTTTCACAAAAATTCAATTTTTAGTACTTAGTGTTTTTCAGCCCCAGTGTCTGTCTGTGGTCCCTGTATGGGGAAGCACCTGGTGCGATGCTGGGGAGCAACTGTGGTGCAGCTGAATGAGGCTAGAAACAAAACCGGCTGTTAAATTTTGCTCATTCAACGTATTCAAACTTGAGATAGTCCTCACTTTTCCTGTAAAGTGGTATATTAATTTGGTCATTGGGGTGCATTAATGAACAGCTATAACAAGCTTATGCAAATTTATGTGAAATTAGAGAACTGGCATATCAGGCAAGAGATGCGGGCAGCTTCTTATTATTAAATTGACATTGAAATAGGTTATGAAGGTGCTAGATAAATTTTGCAGCAAAAGGAAAATAAAGTAACTGTTGCACTGGTAGCACAGCTTGTGCTGTGAGTTATGTGAATGCCGTTAAAAAAGGATGTTAAAAAACACTGGCACTTAGCAGTAAAGAAAGTAGACCAGAAACACGATGGTGATGGAGGGCGAAGGGTTGCAATACACATGAACGAAAGGTCTGGTTATTTCTTTTAACTTGTCTGGTCTAGTTGAGTTAAGCCATGGCTTGCTATTACAGTCAGAGCTTAGAACTGCTCTGTCATGGTGTGCATATGGGTTAATCTTTATCCATGTTCTTGAAAGAGAAATGGGAATTGTGAACTGGAAATCACCTGGCTTATTTGGAAATATACTTCTGGGAAAGTACGTTTCATATGCACCAGGGAAATGGCTTTCTTCAAATTCAAGGCTTTCAGGGTGGGGTTGCCAGTGGCTGTGGCGCGGTGGGGTTCCTTCAGCCACTGGGAGTTTAAGCGTGTGGAGATTTGTTCTGTTCAAGCACTGTCTCTGTTACATGTTATAGTTCTAATCTGTCATTTTTAACGCACCTGAGCTGGCAGTAGAAGCAGGGAAAACTGTTTTATAGACATAGCTCAAGGGCTTTATAGATGAAGTTGGTGAATTGCAGGCATTGGGGAGTGGGTGTAACCAGGGCCAGACCTTACATGAAGGTCTGGAAGGGTGCTGCTGTGCTGGGTGGATGGACTGAAAGATGAGGATAGTAGTCACAGGCAGGCGCTAGCTATGGGAGATCCTGAGGACCGGCTTGTGTGTTGCTGCTTTTGTTTTCACCTGCCTGGTGCCCATAGGGCTCCGCTGAGCATGAGGCTGGCGGTTGCAGAGGGAGGATGCTGTGCTGAACGTGAAGCATGCATGGCTTCACCAGGAGTTGATAAGTCTCACTGCTGTTGTCAGTCTTGTTTGTTTTATTTTCTGTAAGTACAATGCCTAACTCTCTCTTCTTCCTTCCCTTCTGTAGGCTGCCCTCGGGAGCGGCACTGGGAGGCAGTGGAGCTGGCCTCGGCACCGGGAGAGGCTGGACTTCCCGTCTCTCTGTGCTGAATGGCTGCGATGGCGCCCGCTCTCACTGACGCAGCAGCTGAAGCTCACCACATCCGATTCAAGCTGGCTCCCCCGTCCTCCACCTTGTCGCCTGGCAGTGCCGAGAGCAACGGCAACGCCAACAACATCCTCCTGGCTGCCAACGGCACCAAAAGGAAAGCCATTGCTCCGGAGGATCCCAGTTTAGATTTCCGAAACAACCCTACGAAGGAAGAGCTGGGCAAGCTGCAGCCACTAGTGGCCTCTTATCTCTGCTCGGATGTAACATCTGTTTCTTCAAAAGAGCCTCTGAAGCTGCAAGGAGTCTTCAACAAGCAGACAGTCCTTAAATCTCACTCTCTCTTATCTCAGTCCTTCTTAAAAACAAGTGATCTGTTGGGGAGGCAACCAGTGTTGGAATTCACTTTGGAGAATCTGAAAACGATGAGTACTAACGGCCAGCCACCTCTCCCGCAAGCGCCTGTAAATGGCTTGGCCAAGAAATTGGCTAAAAGTACCAATTCAGACCACGAAAACTCTAGTTCTCTGAATGGTGGGAAGTGTGCTCCTCCTGCTGCTACCCTCCAGGGTGTTGACTATAATGCAGGAGGTTCTGAATTGGGGGACTTGAAGACTGGGTTGACCAATTGCACTCTTCCACATAGAAGCCTTGATGCAGAGCACACAACTTCATTTAGCAATAATAGCACTGCAAACAAATCTGCCCTTAATTCCACAGAGCAACAGGAGGTGCTCGAGGGTGGCAGTGGAGAGACTAGGTTGCCTGGTGTTGCCAGTCACTCTGACTTTGCGAGCAGTAGGTTGGAGGAGCAGAAACCACCTTTGTTGGCCGGTCACCACAGTGCTCTTGACTCTGAGATGAGGACGAGGGCGTTGCTGCGGCGGCAGGCAGACATTGAGAACCGTGCCCGCCGGCTGCAGAAGCGCTTGCAGGTGGTGCAGGCAAAGCAGGTGGAGAGACACATCCAGCAGCAGTTGGGTGGCTTCTTGGAAAAAACTCTGAGCAAGCTTCCAACTTTGGACCCCCTGAGGCATCGGAGCCAACTGATGTTGACCAGGAAAGCAGAAGCAGCCTTGAGGAAAGCTGCGAGTGAGACAGTTACTTCAGAAGGCTTAAGCAACTTCTTGAAGAGCGATTCAATATCAGAAGAACTGGAGAGATTCACGGCCAGCGGTATGGCCAACTTGAGATCCAGCGAACAAGCGTTTGACTCGGATGTCACTGACAGCAGCTCGGGAGGAGAGTCTGATGTTGAAGAAGAGGAACTGACCAAAGCAGACCCAGAACAACCCCACGTACCGCTGTAAGTAGCCGTTGTGCTTTGCTTCCTTCTGGTGGGGGGAGAGCGAGGTGAAAGGTGGCAGATGGAAAATCTGGGTTTTGTAGGAACACTTTTCTCTTTGGATGGGCTTAGATCAAAGAAGTAATTGTTAAAATTAGCGTGGTGTGATTAGCAGCATGCTTCCTAGTTGAGGCAGCACATGCAATATTGAGGATGAAATTCTTCATGCGTATGGTGGTCATTGGTGTTCTTGTGGAGCAGCAAGTCCTGGAAATGCTGTCTGGCTGGAGCGGTGCAAGCATGCTGCAGATACAACCCCGGAATGCTCTAAACAGTTCTCTCTGTGATGCAACGGACCTGTCCCCTGAAATGAAATGAAATGTTTGTGTTTTTTACAATGGGAGTCTTTGTTGTAAACCAGTTATGTAAAGTAAGGCCAGTCTGAATCTTTGTAGCTGACAGCGTACTTGTGACTGGGGATTTTTTTTTTTTTTTGGTTAAATGAACTGCCTGGAAAAAAAACCTCTGAAAGGATTTGGTCCAAATGCCGGTTGGAAGTATGAAGCAAGTGTGTTCTCTTCTGCATCTCTGGGAAATATTGCTGGGAATTTTCTTCTTGTCTGTGAGTTGCATTAAATGATGACAACAGCTTCATAATTACGTTGTTAACTGGATGCTGTTTGCGTAAATGCTAGGTGTCAGTTTTGCGTGTGGAGGAGGAAGAACCTCATCAAGGGAAAAGGTCTTGAGACAGGTCAAGGAAGAAGGGAAATTTTTCTTCCAAAGACAAGCATTTTTCTTAGGAGTGCATATCACAGTATTTTGAACAGATCTCTTGAAAGGCCATATTCTGTGTCTAGTCTGTGTAAACTCTTGCTTGCATCAGTAGATGATCTCTTCCACCCTGATGGACCTATTGAACTTAAACCTCAGTCTGTGAAGTACAGCTGCAGTCGACAAAAAGCTCCCTGCAGCAGTCACAGGGGTCCTGTTTGGAATGCGGATGGCTTTTTGATAAAGGCTGGAAACAGTCACCAGGACTCTTGCATACCTGCGCTGCTGTGGGTTTGTTCAGCTCTCTGTGGATTTTTCTAACTGAATGTATTTTGATACCCGTTGTCCAAAGTAATGTTAATGGCTGGTCAAGTACTGTGTGACACAAATCCTACTGCACTAGGTAGGTGGATGTGAACGGTGTTTGTACTCTGCAACTTCAGCATCCCCCAAAATCACGCTCGTGTGGATGAGCGCTGATAAACAGATGCTACAGCTCTTGAATATTAAATTCCAGCTGAATGTCACATCACGTTTTGAGATGTTAGCATAGGATGAATTTCTGTATGTGAAGTCTTAAACATGGCACGAGTTCGGCTTTCTCCCAGCACAAAGCTAGCAGCTGAGCGCGTCATCCCTGCTGGCTGGACGTAAGGCGTTCTTGAAAAGAGAGTTTAATAACTTTATTCCTGTCTTACTATGTCTGCAAACTTACTGTTGGGATTAGTATTGAAATTGCATTTATAAGTATGCTAATTGTTATTAGAGGAGACATTTGATTATAGAGGGAGAGACATTTGATTAGAGACAGAGGGACCTGGCCAGGCTGGATCGATGGGCTATGGCCAGTTGGGTGAGGTTCAACAAGGCCAAGGGCCGGGTCCTGCCCTGGGGTCGCAACAACCCCAGGCAGCGCTCCAGGCGTGGGGCAGAGGGGCTGGAAAGCTGCCCGGCGGAAAAGGCCCTGGGGGGGTTGGTGGAGAGGGGGCTGAATATGAGCCAGCAGGGTGCCCAGGTGGCCAAGAGGGCCAGCGGCATCCTGGCCTGGCTTTTAAATCTTGTTTCTGTGCTCAGTACAGCTGTGTCCCAGACCCACAGAGTTTAATGAGAAACTCATTTCTGTCGTCAGGATGGTGGAAGGAGGGCTGAAACCAGAGGGGCCAGAACAAAACGTCCCCACCGTGTCGTTACAACTGGGGGGGTTCAGCCTGGAGCAGAGGAGGCTGAGGGGAGCCCTCATCGCTCCCTACAACTGCCTGAGAGGAGGGGGGAGCAGGGGGGGTCGGGCTCTGCTCCCAGGGAAGGGGCGATGGGACGAGGGGCACCGGCCTCAAGTTGTGCCAGGGCAGGGTGAGGTTGGCCATGGGGAACAATTCCTTCCCCTTGGGGCTGTCAGGGGCTGGAAGGGGCTGCCCCGGGAAGGGGGCGAGTCCCCAGCCCTGGGGGCAGGTGCTTAGGGACATTGTTTAGTAGTGGACAGGTACGGTTAGACTCAATGATATTAAAAGTCTTCTCCAACCAAATGATTCTATGATTAAAATTCTGTCTAAAGTAATATTAAATTTCCCGTATTTTGGGTTTCATAGATTCACATGTTGTCTAGCAAAGTTAAATTTCTTTGCCACTCATCTTAATCCCAAGAGGTAGTGCGGTATTCAGAGACACGATGCGTGAAATTCTTTGCTGACTTTTCTGCCTTTTGTGTTAGTCATGCCTTTACGTTCCCCAACCTCCCCAGTACTCTTAAATGAAAAGCCAAAGATTTTAAAGCTAATAAAAAGAACAATCCTTCTATTACCTATAGGTTCAGAAGCTGGCGTGTGTGCATACTGGCATCTAGGCCAGGCCCGCCAAACCTAGTTTAAAGTGTGTGCCTGTGGGTATTTTGTAATGGGTGTTCCCAGCATTGACTGTCCTGTCGGTATGAGTGCTTTGACACTGGGTCTCGCAAGCTCTGGCATTACCGAGGTTGAGCTGTGCTTTTTAGCGGAACTCCGGAAGTCAAACTTAAGAGCTGGTACAAGCATCTGAGTACTTCTAAATATCATTCTTTTCAAAGTAGTGCTGAGAGGCAGGAAGGGGAGGAGCTGACTTTTCCACTGGGAAGCTGCCTTGGGCCAGCTTACTGTACAGAACCATTGTTTTACGTCTGCGCGAGCACGGAAGAGTGAAGGCTTTTTGCAGGGTTACTCAAGTATGGCTGGATTTTGCTGCTTGCTGAATTTACTTATTAGAGGGAAGACTTTTACCCTGATTTTTTAATTTTTGGTAGTGAGATGGAATATCTTCATAAGTGCAAAACCTTCTGTCTTGTTTCTAGATCTGTAGTGAGAGTTACGCTGCAAACGCTGTGTCTTGCAGCTTGCTCGCAGTAAGTGGCCATGCCACTGACTGCCTCTGGGACTCAAGTAGAAGCATGCAAAAGAAACAAAGACCCATTTACATCATGCTTAGATAAGACCTGACCTTTGAGTTTTTCTGGTGTGGTGGCATTCTGGAGTCAGTGTCTGGTCAAGGAGAGACTTTGAAACATTTGTACTGTTCTGGCCTGCCTGATCTTGGCCATAGAGCAGCATCTCCCTAAGGAACTGCATCTTTCTAAGAGCGCTAGGGATCTGTCAGAACTTGGTAGGGCCTTTTAAAACACTCGTAGACCTGCTGCCCAGGAAGTGCGTAACCAGGCCATCGTGTCATGCATAAACAAAGCAGGGAGGTATTCGTTACACCTTTGTTGGGAAGCCTTGCCAGCTATGGGCTTGGTTTAACAAGGTGCTCTTGATTCTTACGCAGCTGATGGAGAAAGTGTGTGCAGACAGTTGGTTCACGATGCGTTGTTAGGTTTATGTGGCTCAAGGTCCACCACGTTGCATTTCATTTGCTCTCAGATTAGTAATATACAACTCTCTGCTTCACAGCCAAGATCCTCTTTCATGCCGCTTCAGAAGCGTGTGCGGTGGCAGAGTTAGGAGCTGGAGAAGCTTTGCCTCTGCTTGGTGGTGGCAAAGGCAGGCTGGAGCCTCCCCTGTAGAGAATGGTACTGAACTTCTTTGACTGGGTATGACCGTAGGCAGCAGCCATCTGTGACTGTGAAACCGGTGCTACTTTGAAAGAGCCCAAATGCTGCTGTCAGCTTGGTAGGGTCATGAACTGCTGTTTGTGAAAGGTCGCTTGGAGCAGGGCATGCGAATTCCTCCCGGCGCTGGAGGGCTGCAGGCTGGGCTCTGGCTTATGTGGCCGAGTGATGGTTTAGCAGGTAATCAAAGTCCTGGTGTTTCTGTGGCCTTGTGCTAATACATAGAAGTGAGAAATACTTCATGTGGCTTGTGCATCTTTATAGTAGTTGCTTTTCTCAGGCTAGTTGGTTTCTTTGGCTGTCTTGCATTTCACTGGAGACTAGTTTCATCAGAACTTGTCAATTATTTTTGTCTGATTAGTTACCTGTGTTGAGCAGCAACATAGTCATTAAGCTGGTGAGTAGTATGTGATTTAGTCTCTGCAATCCCCAAATTCAGTCTCTGTACCATGGAAAAATTTTCTGAAAAGGTAATGAAAAATACTTAACTGGAACTGAGCTTTCTCATCTGGAAGGTCTCTGTTTTGATGGCAGTTACATCAAGCAGCTGAGAGTCAAATGAAGTTCCTAGTGACTAACTTCTCACACCACCTTTTACAAGGGTCAGACAGTACCTATGGTGTGTTCAGTTGTGGTGGTTACAATGCCTATGGCCATGATGCCTGAGCACGCTTTAATTATCCCCATTTACTGGTGGGAAATCTGAGCACCTTCTGCACTTGGGGGTTGCAGTGAATTATTTCACAGCTATGGAGCCCGTGTGTTGACTCCTCCCTGCGCTGTGTCCCATCGTGCTGCCTGGATTTCAGAATTGCTGGACTTGGAGTAGTAATGAAGATTTCTCACTAATACATGTGTTTGCCATCACTAATTTCAAGGTCCTGTGTTGGAGAGGGACATGTGTGGCAATTGCATCAGTGATTGTTCAAGGGGTAGTTGCAGTTGGTGCATCAGTTGGCTGAGAAAGAGGATTTAGAAATTCTGTTTTTCTCCCTTGATTATATTTTTCAAGCAAGACCACGATAAGGAAGCCTGTATCTCGAGGGCTGTTAAATAGCATTTCTCAAACCCGTGACTTCGTGGAGCTGTAATTCAGATGGCAAATCCCATGCTGGGGGACTGAGGAAGCTTTTCCTACTGGTCACAAACACGTTTCGCTAAATCTGATCTGTGC